AGTGGGAGAGCGATTTCTTCTCTCACAATCCAAAGAGAGGGCGCATCCCTGGTTGTGTAGTCTCTATACCAAGCAGTGCCCAAGGCTGGGTGTAGCCCTGCCCTTAGCACAAAGTACAAGACACAGAGGAGTCGATGGATGGGGAAGCAGATTATTCCTCCCTCCTTTAAAATATATTCCATTTTTGTCTTAATATTTTGGTTTCCCTTGAAAAACTGAAAGTTCTTTACTTTTCTGAAACCAAAACGGTTTTGTTTTTAAAGCTGAAACTCTGTTGGGCTTGGATTACTGAAAACTGAACATTTATTGGGGTTTGGCGTTTTTTCCAGTGAAAATCAAGGAATTTGACAAAAAAAATGTAATACATATTTGCAGAAATGTCCATTTTGATGAAGAGCTGTTTCCTTTCAAAATCCCTCCCACATTTGGATGAAAGATGAAAATTCACCAGCTCTGCCTCAGTCTAAATATTTTCCAGTCTCACTAGAGGCAGCACATGAAATTGTCTCATTTTCACGTACACGGACATCTCCCTCCAATGGAACACTCTGAGCCCTTTCCCTACCCACTGGGATCTCATTTTATGGCCATCCAGCCCAGCCTCCCAGACCCAGCTAGCTAACCCATCTCCCCCCAGCAATTCCTGCCCCTGGCCCAGTAATTCCTGGCTGGGTTAGAGCAGGGCTTTGAGAACAAGATGCCCCCTCTCCACCGACAGACACCCAGTGAGGGAGAATCTACTCCATCCTGAGAGGAGTTCTCCCAGTGGTTCATTCCCCTCCCTGGTAAACACGGGCCCCTTATTCCCTGTCTGAATTTGTCTCCCTTCTGCTCTCAGCCAGTGGATCGTGCTCTGCCTTTGTCTGGTGGTTAAAGGTCCCTCTGCTGTCAGCAGTCCCCTCCTCAGGTCAGTGTCTCAGCCTGGAATCTCAGCACCACACTAAGGGTATTTCTTCACGGCAGAGCTAGCCTGGGCATGGGAAACTCCCTGCTACTATGCGCTACCCGTGCCAGACCCATGTAACTGCATCCTAATGTTGCTGCGCTTGCCGGGTACTGGGGTGGGATATGTCCTGGTGCTGAGCAGTGCGTTAATCTGGGCTGCTCTCTCATTTCATTCACAGGGTGCTCTTGCTCTCTCTTGCATAGCACAGCGCTGCAGTCTGTGCAATGACAAGAGAAAAGCAGTGCATGTAAATAACTCAATAATTTGCCTCATGATCAATGTAGGCCATCCTGGAGGTGAAAGCTAACAGCTTTTGGCAACAAGAACTTCTAATGGGAATGTCTGTCAGCCATTTGGTCTGCAAACCACACAATGTTTTGTAGAATGCTCAGCTGACAGTTCTGCCTCTCCGGGTCATAGAGCCACAGGGCTAGAAGGGACCGCAGGGGTCATCTAGTCTGGTGGTTCTCAACCAGGGGCATGCGTACCCTGGAGGTATGCAGAGGTCTTCCAAGGGGTACTCAACTCATCTAGATCAGTGGTCACGGGACAGGTTATAGGCAGTTATAGACAGGTACCCCTGTGAAGCAAAGTTACATACTTCAGCTCTGGGTGGTGGGGCTTGGACTTCAGCCCCACTGCCTGCGGCTCCGGCTTCAGACAAGGCTCCCAAGTGAAAAAACAGACTCAAGTTTCACACTGAAAAGTAAGAACAATATTTATATTCCAATTGATTAATTGTATAATTATATGGCAAAAATGAGAAAACAAGCAAATGTGTCAGTACTAGTGTGCTGTGACATTTTGTATTTTTATGTCTGATTTTCTAAGCAAGTAGTTTTTAAGTGAGGTGAAACTTGGGGGTACGCAAAACAAATCAGACTCCTGAAAGGGGTATAGTAGTCTGAAAAGGTTGAGAACCACTGATCTAGTCTAACCTCCTGCAAGATGCAGGATTTGTTGTGTCTAACTGTGACCGGGGTTCTAGTGGGGAGCCAGCTGTGGTCACTCAATTAGGGTGAACTGCAAAGAATGGGGCAGACAATCCCCAAAGCTGGTGGATATTCCAATACTTAGGGCTGGTCCACACTAACCCCCCAGTTCGAACTAAGATACGCAACTTCAGCTACGTGAATAATGTAGCTGAAGTCGAAGTACCTTAGTTCGAACTTAAAGGTACTTACCAAAGGTCCACACATGGCAGGCAGGCTCCCTCATTGACTCTGCCTACTCCTCTCGCAGAGCAGGAGTACCGGCGTCGACAGCGAGCACTTCCGGGATCGATTTATCGTGTCTAGACAAGACGCGATAAATCAATCCCAGAAGATCGATTGCTTACCGCCGAACCCGGAGGTAAGTATAGACGTACCCTTAGATTTACCAAGCCAGCATAAAACAGTTTCTTTATTACCTTACTGGTTACTCAGAAGTCCAAACAACACAGTTCCCTTGAAGTGATCCAGCCTCAGGTCCCCATCCAGGTACCCACGTCAAATATGATGAAAATTTCTGTAAATATTATTTCATCATATAAAAGAAAAGGTTCTGCCAATCCCAAAGGATCGGACTCATTACCGCCCAGGTTAATGAATATTTCAGATCTTACCCAAATACACGCTACAGCCAATTCTTATTAACTAAACTAAACTTTATTAAAAAACAAGAGAGAGAGTATGATTAAAAGATCAATAAATCGAACTCATGTCTGTATGTATATTGAGGTTCAAATTCATAGCAGAGATGGTGAGCTTTGTAGTTGCAAAGAGTTCTTTCAAAAATAGTTCATAGTCCAATGTCCAAATCTCATATTCAGGGCGTCCCAGCATAACTGGGACCTCAGCCTTGTGACTCAAACTTCCCCTGATGAAGCCTAAGCAGATCTGAGATGACAGAATCAGGACCTAAGGATCTTTTATACAATTTCATGTTGTAGCAATGTGGGACTCACCCCTGCGGCGTCTCCTTCTGGTCGTCTCAGAGAATTAGCTCTCCAGCCTCCGGAGCGCCCTCTGCAGGCCGGTGTCCCGCTGCCACTTGGCCCCCCTGTCCCTCCCTGGACTCCAGTGCCCCATTATCTGGGGTGCTGCCCCCTGGCTGTACACCCCTCAGTCTCAGGGTCTCCCCTCCCCAGGGAATCCCCACCCCCTATCTCCACCTCGCCTCAGTCGTAGGGTACTGCCAGTCACCAACTAGCCCCCATTCCCTGGGGCAGACTGCAGTATAAGCCACTCATCACTGGCAAGGTGGGTTTGGGCCTGCTGCCTTCCTCTGCCCTTGGGCTGGCCCCTGCAATCCCAATACCTATTCAGCCTGATACTAGGCCTGCAGCCTGGGGGGTTTCCAGGCCAGAGCTCCCCAGCTCCTCTGGCCTTCCCCCAGCCCTGCTCCACCTCAGGTACACTCCCCAGCAGCCAGGCCCCTCCCTTGCAAAGGCTAGCGAGAGAGTCTCCTGAGTGCCTGGCTCACAGCCTTTTTATAGGGCCAACTGTGGCCTGATTGGGGCGTGGCCCAGCTGTGACTACTTCCCCAATCAGCCCAGGTTTCCCCTACCATAACCCTCTCCAAGGGCTGTTTCAAGCCCTTCAGGGCAGGAGCGGGTGACCACCCCGCTACACATGTCTTTTGACAAGTTGGAGTTCCTCAGGGAACAAAAGGTAATTAGGATGACTTTGAAGGAGGTCCATCACCGGTACTTAGCTATATGAATTAACATAAGGCCATTTGCTTGTTCCTCCACCATTCGCAGTACATTACAATTAATTTAAATGATATGAGTGTTGATTACATTGTGGACCCTACTCATACATATGTAAATACACAAAAACACAAACATCATCTCCCCACATGTCTTTTTAGGGGTATTTATTTTGCAGGATGTTTAACCCTTTCTAGCCATGTGTCACATTAACCCATCCAAGACCGCTGGTTATCCAGCCTCCTTTTGAAAACCTCCAGTGAAGGAGCTTCCTTGACCTCCCTAGGCAGGTCTGTTCCATTGTTCTCCTGTTCTTACTGTTAGGAAGTTTTTTCTAAGATTTAATCTTAGGCTTTGTCTACACTACACAGCTTTTAGTGACATGGCCGTGTCGACACAGCTGTGTCGCTAAAAGTTGGGCAGTGTAGCCGCTGTTTGTCAGCACTCTTGCCAACAAAATACTTGCTCCCCCAATGAACAGCGTTCACATTGTCGACGGGAGAGCGCTCCTGCCGACAACACACTGTTCACAATAACACTTGCCATGGCAAAACTTTTGTCTTGGGAGGGGGAGTGGTTTGCACCTCTGAACGACAACAGTTTTGTCGCTCAATTGCCAGTATAGACATAAATCTTCTGTTTGACCCCATTGCCTCTTTTCTCCATCTTTTTTATGGCAGCCTTTCAAGTATTTGAAGACCGCTATCACGTCCCCCTTTAATCTCCTCTTTTCCAAACTAAACATACTCAGTTCCTTCAGGCTTTGCTTGTATGACTTGCATTCCTTCTCATCATCTTTGTCGTTCACTTCTGGGTCCTTCCCAGTTTCTCTCTACATCCTTTTTATACGTTGGTGACCAAAATTGGACACACTACTCCAGCTGAGGCCTAACCAATGCCGAGTAGAGCGGTACTATCACCTCCCATGACTTGCATGCTCTGCCTCTGTTAATGCAACCCAAAATTGCATTTGCTTTTTTGCAACAGCATCACATTGCTGGCGCGTGTTTTGGTTGTGATCCACCACAACTCCCAGATCCTTTTCAGCAGTGCTGCTGCCAGGACAGTTTCCCCCCACTCTGTGTTTGTGCATTTGGTTTTTCTTCCCTAAGTGCCACACTTCACATTTGTCTTTGCTGAATTTCATTTTGTTGGCTATAGCCCAGTTCTCCAATTTATCGAGATCCCTGTGAATTTTAGCTCTATCCTCCAAAGTGTTGGTAACCCCCCACCCAGCTTTGTGTCATCTGCCAACGTAATCATTGGGAAATTCTGCCCACAAAACATTTTCCCCGTTTCCGGGAGGCTTCTGTCTGGCAGGAGGGAGGAGGAGTTCTCTGTCCAAATGCAGTGGAAGCGCTAAGCCCGGTGGAAACAGAGCAGGCTAACGTGGGGTTAAAATGCAGGGCACAAGTAGGGAGGAGTTAGACACGACAGGGAAAGCTCAGGCAAAGGGGGAACTGGAGAGAACAACAGCCGGTTTGATCAGCCTGCAGCTTTCTCCCTGCACACAGACAGCGGGGGGGCTTGCCGGCGCGGCTGAACAATACCCCAGCACTTGCCGGTGGGGAGTGTGGGGGGCGAGTGCATGGGGAGAGCATGTGGAGTGTGATGCTAACAGAAGGAGTTGGGGGGTGTTTGTGTAAGAGGAGGCGAAGGATTACAAAGTGTGTGACGGGGAGGGGGCAACAGACCCACCCGGGATCCCATTTGCCTCCTGAGGGGAGGGATAGCTCAGTGGTTTGAGCATTGGCCTGCTAAACACAGGGTTGTGAGTTTAATCCTTGAGGGGGCCATTTAGGGATTTGGGGCAAAAATCTGTCTGGGGATTGGTTCCCCCTTTGAGCAGGGGGTTGGACTAGATGACCTCCTGAGATCCCTTCCAACCCTGATAGTCTATGATTCTTCTGGGGGTCAGGCCAGCTGGGCATTTGTCAGAGCCAGTGTGGGCCCTATGCTGCATGGGGGGCAGATTCAGCCCAACAACATGGTTATTGCACTGTCGCTGTGCCAGCCAATTTCCCTATGTAGACAAACCCTAATAACACAGCTGCAACCCCATATCACCCTATGCAAGGAGAGGGTTGGCTGTGCTAAGAGGGGTAGGAAGCTGGGGGTGGGAGAGGTGAGCAGGGGTCTTTCTGTTATGAATGTTTCTCTGGAAGCTCTGCATGTGTCCCAGCCTCACACACAGAGTCTGACAGAGAAGGGAACTGAACTCGGCTTATCAAAGGTCCCTGGCTTGTGCCCCCCATTTCCCCATCCCCCCTCTAACAAGGAGAGGTGGTCACTAGCTGGCTGTAAGAACACAGCTTTTCTGGCAGGGAAGGGTGCGTCCACACTAGGAGGACAGGAATGTTAGTGAACACGATGCACAGTTCCAGGGGACAACTCGGCCGTTGTCATTTTTACCAGGAGTTATCAGGTTGAGCTAAGCAGTCAAATCCCTCGGTACCACGGAATTGCTCCCTCACTGTCTGTGTTTCCCTTGCCCTCTCAGGAGCCCTGGGAGAAGCCCCTCTTTCCAGACAGCAGCATTGCCGCTCCAGGAGGTCGCTCTGGTTTTACGAGACAGTTTGTGCTTCTGGGCCCTCGGACCTGATCCCCCACCCGGCTCACGTGGTGTCAATAACGAGGCACTGGTGTATGAAGTCAGAGGCTGGATGCTTCCTGCCAGGGGCATGAATGAGACAGAAAGGCCTGGGGTCGGGGCTCATCCCCTGCTGGGATAAGGACACCCCCGGGGAGCAGCCATGGCTGCAGGGCCGGGGGCAGAGGGGGTCCTGGACCTGCAGTTTCAGATCCAGGTGGAGCAGTCGGTGTGCCCCGCTGGGCTGACGGAGCAGCAGGTCTCAGCTGGGCCCGAGCCAGATGTGGGATTGGAGCGGTCGGGCGGGCTGCCTATTGTGGTGCAGTCCGGCACCATTGGGGAGCTGCTGAGATGGGTGGCGCCGCAGCAGGCCCAGTATGCGTCGCAGAAGGAGATGCTGCAGCACTGGGAGGACGTCTGGCAGGAGGTGCTGCAGGCTCTGCGCATCCTCCCGGAGGTGGGGCCGGCTCCAGCCTGCGCCCTCAGGCATGGAGAACCAGAGCTGTTGCCTCCTCCCGGAGTTGTGCCAGCACCGACTTGTGCACATAGGTGTGAAAACCCCACCTCCCAGGGGGACAGTGAGTCACCCAGGGGTCTGGAGCAGGCTGGGATCGAGCTGCTGGAGGAGACGGCACCGTGTCGAGAGGAGCAGCTGTCAGCCACGCAGACCCCTGCCGAGGTTAAGCCAACTCCAGCACCTGCATGGAGAACCCTGGAGCTGCCACAGCTGGCCCCAGAGGACGATATCGAGGCCTATCTGGCCACCTTTGAGCAGGTGGCTGACGCCTGCCAGTGGCCGAGAGGGGAATGGACAACCCGACTGGAGCTGTACCTCACCGGGAAAGCCCAGTTGGCCTATGGCAGCCTGGACATCACAGAGACAAGTGACTATGGGAAGGTGAAGGCCACCATCCTGCATCGCTATGGCATCAGCCCAGAGACACAGCGCAGGCGCTTCAGGGAATTCTGCTACCAGGAGGCCGAGGGGCCCCGGGAGGCTTACAGCCGCCTCCGGGAGCTCTGCCATCGCTGGCTGGAGCCGCAGAGCCGCACCAAGGAGCAGATCTTGGAGCTGCTGATCCTGGAACAGTTCCTGACCATCCTGCCGGAGGAAATGCAGGACTGGGTCTGGGAATGTGGTCCTGATACCGGCGCCCAAGCGGTGGCCCTGGCAGAGGGGTTCCAGGTGGGGCAGCCAGAGGCCCAGTGGCTGGGGCTACAGGTGAGAGTGATCATCTCAGTGAGAGACCAGGGTGGGAAGGGGAGACAGACTATGGAAGCCACAGGGGAGCCAGGGTTCCTGTATTTGTCCCTGTAAAGCCTTGCTCAAGAATCTCCATGGAGTGTGGGTGCTTCAGAGTTTGGGTGCCCAACATGAGTCAACTGGGGCCAGAGGGTTCAGGTGCTGCGCAGATACATCTGTGTTATCCTTAGCACATCCCCCCTGGAAACCAGGTCCCACCCGTCTCCCAGCTGGACAACTAAAAACTGTAGTGCCCCAAGTTAGCGGCCACTCGTGGGCATCTGAGCACTTGGGGACTCATGTAGCCCCAACAATTTAGAAGGGTCAATGAGAGACCTCAGCTAGCGAGAGCTGCCAGTCCTGCTAATCAGGGGATTTTGGGGGAGTGAATTTGCCACACGTGGCATCTCAAACACACCTGTGCTAAGACGTTCCAAGAGGCCGGAAAATATACTACTGGGGAGAGTGGGAGACGGTCTGCTCTCATTTAAAGTCTCCCTTATAACAGTGACATCTGAGTGCTCTCTCCTGCAGTGTTGTGCGTTCCCAAGTACGCAGCCCAGCTTTGGATCTGAACAGGTTTGGTTTGAGGTGAAAAGGCCCCGTGTTGAGTCTCCATGAGAGTCTGTGATTCAGTCTGTGAGGGCCGCCATTTTGAAGGGAACGTGCTTCCCAAAATGGAGGAGGGCCTCATGCTATCGTGCCAGCCTGGTCCTCATATTCGTTGTGTGAGGCTATCTGTCTTGCAGGGAATGTGCTCTCCAAATTGAAGCGCTTCACACTGACAGGCGGGCCACCTCCTCACCAGAGATACTGTCTAGGCACAGTGTGGTTAGTGTTTGATGTGGCTGCGAACACTACTCCCCACACTAATCCCCACCGTGCACATCCCATTTCTGTGTGTCCTGTTTCCTTCGACACTGGCTCGGTGTCATGGAGTCACCGGGGCGATGCTCTGGAACTACTTCATACGAAGCCAGTCAGGACTCTGGGGGAGCCTCCCCTCTCTGAGCATGCTGTCGCCAGGGCAAGAAGCTTACACAGCTTTGACCTTCCTGGGTCTGACCTCAGAGCATTCAGGATCCCCTGCCACACCGTGTGCTTCCCGCAGCGAGTCCGCCCGGGCGGGGCTCCTGGGGAAGCCAGAGGGCCCTGCACCCCAACTCCTCAGTCAGACGTAACTCTCAGCCAGCCGGTAAAACAGAAGGTTTATTAGTCGACAGGAACACAGCGTAGGGCAGAACTTGTTAGCACAGAAATCAGTGACTTTCAGCCAAGTCTATCTTGTGGGGCGGGGAGCCCAGAGCCAGGGCTCTGGTCCTCCCCCCTGAACCCCAAGCCAGCCAAGACTGACTTGCTTCCAGCTGGAGCAGCCCCCTCAAAAGTCACACACCCTTATTCCCACCACCTAGCCATTGGTGCAATACCCCGGGAAACTGAGGCACACACAGCATTCATGCAAAACAGGAAGACTCACATAGGCTCACATACAACAGAACAAGGGAAATTCCCCACTACGTCACACCCTGCCCTGCTTCTGTGCATGTTTTCCTAATTCCAGGGATAGGCCCCAGAGCAGCTGGCACTGAGCTGGGCAGGGGAGGACTGGCACACAGCGTAGTGCGGGGCAGGATTTGTCGGGAGCGGTCAGTGCTGAGCAGGATGTCTTTGTGGTTGCAGATGCCAGTGCAGTTCAAGGACGTGGCTGTGACTCTGACTGAGGCAGAGTGGTTGCTGTTGGATGAGGAGCAGAGGCAGCTGTATGAGACTGTCATGCAGGAGAATTACCGGAGCATTAGCTCACTGGGTTAGTTGGGTGATTATCCAAACTTCTTGACTCATGTGGACGCTCTGGGCAGAGCTGTCTGGAAAATCGTAAATCTTTTCCACCTTTTGAAAGAAACTACAAATATTTTTTTCACAAATATTTCAAGTTTTTCAACAAGAACTAAATCGTCTATGTTTTTTCCCCATTCTTTCCTTTCTCTCCCCCGTGACTTTTACTGTTTTGGTACTGGGGGGAATAAACGAAAAACGAGAGAGAAAAAACAAAAACTGGAAACTCTTTTGTTGAAAAGTAGAATTTTTTTACATGGAAATCAAGTCTGTTTTTCATCCGAAAATTTTGTCGAACAAAAAAATGTTGACGAGCTCTGGCTGTGAGTAGACCTGGACAGAAAACGGAGATTTTTTTCCATGGAAAATTTCAGTGGAAACTAATTTTTGGTTTGGGTTTTGTATAAATTTTCAGTGAAAAAAAAAAACAAAAAATGTTGAGCAAAGCAGAAAATTTCTGCTAATTTTTATGTTCAATGTCCCAATTTTAGTTGAAAATAAAGTTTGGATGGCTAGTCTTTGAGCAGTTCTCTCGGTGAGTTCTCTGCTATGCCCAGGTCTGGTGGGCTCCTGGTAGCACCGTGAGGAACCAGAATTTTTGGCTTGTGAGAAATTTCGCATTTCTAAAATTCAGACAACAAAGTCAGAAATTAGAAATTTCCCATGAAACTGAAATATTTGAAAAATTTCGTGTCAGAAGAACCAAAATGGAATTTATAAACATCTCTCAGAGAGCCAGCCAATCTTGCAGCTTCATGGTTTCCACTGAAACTGTTGTGTTGGAAACTTTTTCACCCATCTCTAGTTGCAGGCTATTCCCTGGTCTCTTGGGTTCCTGGTGGGAGGTGGCATTAGAGTCCCAGACTAATCTTTGCACCCCTTGTTTTCAAGGAGATTGAGAAACACAATACATGCACATAAAGTATAGAACTGCTCCAAACTTTCCCATCAAAATTATTTTCTATGGAAATTGGATTTTTCAACAAAACTGACATTTTCACAAAAACTTTCCATCAAATATGTTGGGTGTCAGCTGCTAAAAAACCCCAAATGTGTGTGTTTCCATCAAAAGCCAGAAAAGGTTAAAAAAAGACACACACACACACCCTGCTTTTAATCAACATTTTTTTGAAAAAGTAATTTCCTGAGCACCTCTGCGATGGGCTGGAAGCAAGAATCGCTGGGTAAGACTCTCTGGCCTGGGTTATGCAGGAGCAAGTCTGGTCAAAACTCCACATTTCTGTTTCGTTTCGACATTTCAAAATTTGTTTTCACCCTGGATCAGAACAAAACCAAATATCCTTGTAATTTCCCATGAAACAGACTCTCTGAAAATTATTGTTTTAAAATGTGTTTTGTTTTCATTTTTATATTATTTTTACATTATTTCATGATATACGGTGCACACGAGGACATGTACTCTTATGTCATGATTTGTAATCTTATGACATAATAGTCAAAATATTTATTTATTAAATACACAAAGGGCCATGGCTGCTTAGTATAGATTGAAACATCTTGACTTATTTTCTAGATCAAAGTATCTCCTATTTATGTTGCAGTGAAACAGTGTGATACCTGTGGAACTAACGTGAGACATAAATCTTGGAACTAGCATGACATTGTTGTCTCTCTTCTACCTCTTCCCCCACCCTATGTTTTGTCTATTTAGACAATGTTACTGTTGTATAGTTGGTTGTCATGGTAACAGTTACATCATTTTTTCCTTGTATTCCTCCGTCTGTCTGTATAGATCTGTTGTCTCTTGTCATGTACTAGACTGTGAGCTTTTTTGGGTACAGACTGTCTATTTGTTGTGTGCTTGTACAGCACCTGGCACAATAGGGTCCTGCTCCATGACTGGGGCTCCTACGGCTTTACCATAACACAAATAATAAATAAATAAGAAACCGCAGCTCGAACAGGAGACACTTTGAACTATGTCCTGTGATGCCCTGCTCATAATGTAAACGATGTAATGTAGAAAATATTCAAAACAACATTTATTTTGCAGTATTTTCATTTTTATATTTTCCAAAGAATTTTCATTTTGAAAATTATTTGCTTGTGTGAAAAATTTCCTTAAGTTGAAATGGCATTGTCCAAAGGAAACATTTTTTTTGTAGAATTTTACATACCTAGATCATAGCATATCAGGGTTGGAAGGGATCTCAGGAGGTCATCTAGTCCAACCCCCTGCTCAAAGCAGTACCAAAGCCCAGACAGATTTCTGCCCCAGTTCCCTAAATGGCCCCCCTCAAGGATTGAATTCACAACCCTGGGTTTAGCAGGCCAATGCTCAAACCACTGAGCTATCCCTCCCTGGCTCAATGCAGCAGGCCAAACTGTCTGGATAGAATGGGCCCTGCTGGCTTTTGAACCTGTGATGCTATCCTGGGGTTCCCTATTTGAGTACACGCATGCACACATGCCCACACACACACGCTGCCTGTATTCCCTGTCTGCCTGAGCTGGGGTTCCTGTTCCAGCAGAGAGTGCTCTGGTCTGTCTCTGCAGATTCAGAGTTGTCACCGTTGGGTTGTGCCTGCCCCTCCTCCCACTGGTTGTCACACTTCCCCATCGTCCTCTCCCCAGCAGACAGGGACCTTTGTACCAAGCCCTGGGGCTCGCTGACCGTGCCCTTATTGCTTCTTTTCTCTTCCCCATGGGCAGGTTGTCCGGTTCGCAAACCCGCCCTGATCTCTCAGCTGGAGCGAGGGGAGGAGCCGTGCATCCCAGATCCCCCAGCCCCTGAGGAGCAGGAGACCCAGAGGGACGTCCCAACAGGTGAGGGATGAATCAGCCAGTTCAGAAAGTAAAATCCTGGGATCCCAGCCACAAGTTCCCATGGCAGTGCCTCCTGGCTGAGTCTGCAGAGCCATGGGGAAGGCAGAGCTTAGTCACACAGCCAGGAGCTCCTGCAGCCCGGCCCCAGCCGAATCCACTGAGCCATGTGGGAGGCAGAATCAAGACATGTTCTGCCTTTCCTTTCCACTCCTCACCACGATGAATCCAGGCGTGAGACTCTCACGGTCACCACTTCCAAGCTATTGTTACTCTGACATCCACCGGGCTTGGCTGTGCACAGCAATGCAGTGGTGCAGATAGCTGCATGATCGGGAAGTGTGGCCTAGTGCTTACTCACTGGCCTCGGATGATGAAGACCTAGCTTCTGTTTGACCTCTGACACAGACTCCCTGTGTGACCTTGGGCAAGTCATTTAGTCCTTGTGTGTGTCAGTTCCTATCTGTACACTGGGGATAACAGCCTTGCCCTGCCTCCCAGGCATGCATGTGGATAAACACATTAAGGATTGTGAGGTGCCTGCATACTATGGTGCTGGGGCCTGTCAATGCCAGAGATAGACACTAGAATAATAGAATCTCAGGGTTGGAAGGGACCTCAGGAGGTCATCTAGTCCAACCCCCTGCTCAAATCACAGGCGCCGACTCCATGGGTGCTCCGGGGCTGGAGCACCCACGGGGAAAAATTGGTGGGTGCTGCACCCACCGACAACTCCCTGCCCCGCCCACCGCCGCAGCTCATCTCCACCTCCTCCCCTGAGCGTGCCTTCCCTGCTTCTCCTCCCACTGCTTGTTGCCACGAAACAGCTGTTTCATGGCGTAACAAGCTGTGGGAGGGAGGGGGAGGAGCGGGAACACGGCGTGCTCAGGGGACAGGGGAGGAGATGGAGAAGCAGCGAGGCTGGGGCGGGGATTTGGGAAAGGAGTTCAATGGGGCAGGCAGGGGGCGGAGTTGAGGCGGGGACTTTGGGGAAGGGGTTGGAATGGGGGCGGGGCAGGGGTGAATTTGGGGCGGGGCCAGAGGGCACGAGCACCCACCGGCACCAGGAGAAGTTGGCACCTATGGCTCAAAGCAGGACCAATCCCCAACTAAATTATCCCAGCCAGGGCTTTGTCAAGTCTGACCTTAAAAATCTCTAAGGAAGGAGATTCCACCACCTCCATATGTAACCCATTCCAGTGCTTAACCACCCTTCTAGTGAAAAAGTTTTTCCTAATATCCAACCTAAACCTCTCCCACTGCAACTTGAGACCATTGCTCCTTGTTCTGTCATCTGCTACCACTGAGAACAGTCTAGATCCGTCCTCTTTCGAACCCCTTTCAGGTAGTTGAAAGCGGCTATCAAATCCCCCCTCCTTCTTCTCTTCTGCAGACTAAATAATCCCAGTCCCCTCAGCCTCCCCTCATAAATCATGTGCTCCAGCCCCCTAATCGTTTTTGTTGCCCTCCGCTGGACTCTTTCCAATTTTTCCACATCCTTCTTGTAGTGTGGGGCCCCAAACTGGACACAGTTCTCCAGATGAGGCCTCACCAATGTCAAATAGAGGGGAACGATCACGTCCCTTGATCTGCTGGCAATGCCCCTACTTATACAGCCCAAAATGCCGTTAGCCTTCTTGGCAACAAGGGCACACTGTTGACTCATATCCAGCTTCTCGTCCACTGTAACCCCTAGGTCCTTTTCTGGAGAACTGCTGCCTAGCCACTCGGTCCCTAGTCTGTAGCAGTGCATGGGATTCTTCCGTCCTAAGTGCAGAACTCTGCACTTGTCCTTGTTGAACCTCATCAGATTTCTTTTGGCCCAATCCTCTAATTTGTCTAGGTTCCTCTGTATCCTATCCCTACCCTCCAGCATATCTACCACTCCTCCCAGTTTAGTGTCATCTGCAAACTTGCTGATCATTAATGAAGATATTGAACAAAACCGGTACCAGGACTGACCCTTGGGGCAATCCGCTTGATACCGGCTGTCAACTAGACATGGAGCCATTGATCATTACCCATTGAGCCCGATGATCTAGCCAGCTTTCTATCCACCTTATAGACCATTCATCGAACCCATACCTCTTTAACTTGCTGGCAAGAATACTGTGGGAGACCGTATCAAAAGCTTTCCTAAAGTCAAGGAATAACATGTCCACTGCTTTCCCCTCATCCACAGAGACAGTTATCTCATGATAGAAGGCAATTAGGTTAGTCAGGCATGACTTGCCTTTGATGAATCCATGCAAACTGTTCCTGATCACTTTCTTCTTCTCTAAGTGCTTCAAAATTGATTCCTTGAGGACCTGCTCCATGATTTTTCCAGGGACTGAGGTGAGGCTGACTGGCCTGTAGTTCCCCAGATCCTCCTCCTTCCCTTTTTTAAAGATGGGCATTACATTAGCCTTTTTCCAGTCATCCGGGACTGCCCCGATCACCATGAGTTTTCAAAGATAATGGCCAATGGTTCTGCAATCAAATCCACCAACTTCTTTAGCACCCTTGGATGCAGTGCATCCGGCCCCATGAACTTGTGCTCGTCCAGCTTTTCTAAATAGTCCTGAGCCACTTCTTTCTCCACAAGGGGCTGGTCACCTTCTCCCCATACTGTGCTGCCCAGTGCAGCAGTCTGGGAGCTGACCTTGTTCATGAAGACAGAGGCAAAAAAAGCATTGACTACATTAGCTTTTTCCACATCCTCTGTCACTAGGTTGCCTCCCCCATTCAGTAAGGGGCTCACACTTTCCTTGACTTTCTTCTTATTGCTAACATACCTGAAGAAACCCTTCTTGTTACTCTTAACATCTCTTGCTAGCTGCAACTCCAAGTGTGATTTGGCCTTCCTGATTTCACTCCTGCATGCCTGAGCAATATTTTTATACTCCTCCCTGGTCATTTGTCCAATCTTCCACTTCTTGTAAGCTTCTTTTTTGTGTTTAATATCAGCAAGGATTTAATTGTTAAGCCAAGCTGTTCCCCTGCCATATTTACTATTCTTTCTACACATCGGGATGGTTTGTTCCTGCAACCTCAATAAGGATTCTTTAAAATACATCCAGCTCTCCTGGACTCCTTTCCCCCTCATGTTATTCTCCCAGGGGATCCTGCCCACCAGTTCCCTGAGGGCATCAAAGTCTGCTTTTCTGAAGTCCAGAGTCCACTGCTCTCCTTTCTTCCTTGTGTCAGGATCCTGAACTCTACCATCTCATGGTCACTGCCTCCCAGGTTCCCATCCACTTTTGCTTCTCTTACTAATTCTTCCCTGTTTGTGAGCAGCAGGTCAAGAAAAGCTCTGCCTCTAGTTGGTTCCTCCAGCACATGCACCAGGAAATTGTCCCCTACACTTTCCAAAAACTTCCTGGATTGTCTGTGCACCGCTGTATTGTTCTCCCAGCAGATATCAGGGTGATTGAAGTCTCCCATGAGAACCAGGGCCTGTGATCTAGTAACTTCTGTTAGTTGCCTGAAGAAAGCCTTGTGCACCTCATCCCCCTGTCTGGAGGTCTATAACAGACTCCCAACATGACATCACCCTCGTTGCTCACACTTCTAAACTTAATCCAGAGACTCTCAGGTTTTTCTGCAGTTTCATACCAGAGCTCTGAGCAGTCATACTCCTCTCTTACATACAATGCAACTCCCCCACCTTTTCTGCCCTGCCTGAGCAGTTTATATCCATCCATGACAGCACTCCAGTCAGGTGAGTTATCCCACCAAGTCTCTGTTATTCCAATCACATCATAATTCCTTGACTGTGCCAGGACTTCCAGTTCTCCCTGCTTGTTTTCTAGGCTTTTTGCATACTATAATGGAGATATCCTATCTCCTAGAGCTGGAAGGGACCTTGAAAGGTCACTGAGTCCAGCCCCCTGCCTTCACTAGCAGGACCAAATACTGATTTTGCCCTAGATCCCTAAGTGGCCCCCTCAAGGATTGAACTCATAACCCTAGGTTTAGCAGGCCAATGCTCAAACCACTGAGCTATTCCCCCCCAATACACAGTATTACACAGTAATACACAGTTAAACACTGCACTGGGCCGTGTGGATGTCCTTGTTCTGGTTTTAACCAAGCTTGTTTTGATTCAGTTCCATGCAAGTGGAAACAGTTTGCCCTGGTTTAGATAACGGGGTTACTTTGGAGCTGGCTGGAGATTTTTTCCATAACAAAATGACGATTTGCCAAATTTGAAACGTTCCATAGAAACATCTCAGTTCTGACAGAATTTGGGCAGAAAGCAGGCCGGGGACTGACAGAAACCTGCCTGGTGTCTCTCCGGCTCGTCCCTCCCCAGCACTTCAGCAGCTGCCACTGGCCTGGGGTTTCTGAACTACAGAGGTGTCAGGAGCCTAGAAGCACTGGGATACCCGGCTCCCAAGCTCCCAGGGCCATCAGCAGCTGGCCTGGTGGCTGCCCCGGAGCCGGGGCTCCCAGGCGCTCCTGACTCCACGGCACCTGCCTGGACGGGCAGCTGAGAATCCCAGGGAACACATTTCATTTCACACACACACACATTCCTGCAGCTCGGTGTGTCCCAAACCAAGTATTGCGGGGTTCAAGTTGTGGGGAACATTTCCAGTTTGGGGTTTTTTGTCCCAATTCAGGACAAACTTTTTTCCAAAAACTCGAATATTTTTTGTGAACTTTGAATTCCACTTTCCCGCCACTGTTAGTTTAGATCCCTCTGCTGGCTTCCCCCTGCGCCTGGGGCCCGGCTCACGCACCACTTCTCTCTTGGTTCCCGCAGACACCGAGGAGCTGGCTGTGCTGCACC